TGATTATGATGCATTTACAATTCTACTAACATTCTTTCATGCTAAGCATATATTCAGGCATATTTTCAATCCATTTTAAGATGTGCCAACTTCTCTCCTGCTCCAATTTCTGCTCTAGAGCATGTGTTGTATCAAGATTTTCAATGTTCAGTTATTCCGCAAAAAAGCTGCCATGCTAGAATTTCGAGCTACAGACAATGAAAAATTGTCATTCTTTGAAAGAAATCTGCTTCAAGATACATAGCAAAATGACATTTCAAGGATTTAAAAGTGAAACTGATTTACATAATGCTAATTTATGACATTGCGAAAGGAAAATTGATTGCGATGTGTTTCGCGTTTGAGCAAAATCAGCTGTTTTATGTTTATTCTTGACCGTCCCTTCAAAATCTGCTTATCAAAGTTAAAAAAACTGTCAGATAGATCAAAATTGATATTTATTCAAGTATTTAGGCTATTTCAACCATTTATGACCACTCCCAGTATGAAACAGTTCTGAAAAACATGTTCAGAAATTACTTTAAAAAATGGACTGGTCTCGAAAAAAATGCCCGATCCGAGGCCTTCATTTGAACTAAAATGGTTGGAATCGATGCGATAGTCCAAAAATTTATACGAAAATTGCTTATTTCTATCATTTGATGCTCCTGGAACCCCTATGTCAGAGAAAATGACTCAGGTGAGCTTAAATGTGAAGATGAATAGCTCACCAAACACTTAAATGCATGATTTTTAACTGTCAATGAAGAATTACCTCCCCTTGATTTTGCTCTCTAATATAGACATGAGGCAAAATATGCACTTTAAAAGCTCATATTTCACCATAGCCACAGCTTTGGGGTAATATAAACATGTAATTATGATATTAAAAAGTACTTACAAAAAATCAAATTTTGCTCTTAAGGGGGCAATACACAGTTTTCAAGGCTTCTCGGCAAACAACTGACTGCGCCACAATCAAAACCTCACACACAAGTCTGTAATCACACACCTGAAATAAATGCATTTCATATTTAACATATACATATGTATCTCACAGCAAACAATTAAAAATACATGTCCACCTTCTAGTTTTCTGGCACATAGCCCTGTGTTTTTCATTGTTTTGGTCGCGAAAATCAACGACAAAAATAGCGGATTACCCCTATTCGCAAAATACAACAATATATTAACGTCAAAAGATTAAATCACAAGCTATAGTGATTCTTCCTTCTTAAACAATGCACAATCTGAAAATAACATCCAAACGGGGAGTCATGCACCTACTTTTTTCACTATTTTAAGTCTTCTGCATACCCTTTAAATTGAAGAGCTGATTCACCGCCTAGCTCCAAAAACCACATGTTCGCATCCGACAGGTGCTCTCTCAAAAAAGCAAGGGTTAACGCCACTAAATTCAATTTTACTAAATAACTGAAACACAATACTAGTCATTGAAACTTGAAATATAGTACTTATAAACATTTAGAACCTCAAATATCCACTTCAATTTCAAAACTGTCTCTTATTTGTAAATTCCACCCTGGCCAATTCGAAACTAAACAGCCGAAACTGTGTACTGCCTCCACAAGCTTAGTGTTAAGCTAATGCAATATAAGGGCTAAAATCAACAAAAGGAAAGGTGTATGTCATCAGTCCTTAGTTTTGTTTGATGTCACAAGACAGTGCAATATGCAAGTGTTGTTGTTGTTGAAAGATACATGTAGTCCAGGTTTAAGTTAACACAATGAAAGTCACCAAGTACATTCAATCAGAGATATTGTATTTCCGATCCTCAGAGATCGTTCAGGACGACATTGTTGTATTAAGGAACATACGCCGCTTTTCATGAAATGGCACGGAAGTGTAACATTGAAGGATCCATAATAACCCCGTATGACACATCTGCGGATGATTTTAAATTAAAATCTAACCTTCATGTTTAAATGTTGAATTCAGCTTAAGTCGGTGCTAGGGGGCATGGACGGTAGTTTGCACTTGACAGTACTGTCCATGCACAGGCTCTGTCAAACCGAGTGTACAACATTTTCAGTTTTGCCGGTTTGGGCTTTGTTTAAGTATTCATGTAATTGTTTGTTTGTTTGTTAAACAAACAAGTTTTCATATAAACTCTATTTTGCAAACATTAAAGAAATCATAGAAAAGTGCATTAGTTGTTTTGTTTCCGAGACGGTCCATTTCTTATCGTGGCTGATTTGTGCTATTCGTGTTTTCTCCCCGCGACCCGCCAAGCAAAAGTCGAGAATAAACAAGTTAAAAAAGCGGGGGCGCGGAGCGAAAAGTCGCTAATAAGCGGAGGTGCGGGGCGAAATTTAATATATTATATTCACCCCGCGGGGGCGCGGAGCGAGATTTAAGATATTAGACGGCGGGATCGCGGGACGAAACACGATATCTAGCGGGGGAGCGGGGCGACAATAAATTAAAACTTCGCCGCGCGCCTCGCTAATTAGCGTGTTTTCGTTCCGCGACCCCGCCAAGCGAAAAGTCGATTATTTACAGGTTAAAATGACGGGGTTGCGGAGCAAAAACACGCTTATTAGCGGGGGCCCTACTCAGCTTGTTTTTGCTTCGCGCCCCCACCCGTGGTGCGAAGTTTTATTTATTATACTTCGCCTGCACCTTCGATAATAAGCGTGTTTTCGTCCCGCGCCCCCGCTATTTTAACTTGTTAATTCTTGCCTTTCGCTTGGCGGGGTCGCAGGGCGAAAATGCGAATGGCATAAAACAGCCACCACAATTTCTGCCTCTACAGCGTTATTTTTTTTTAGTATTCAATGGAAGGATACTACGTTATCGCACCCCTGCTGAATGCTCCCACCTGGACCATTTTTTCGTCGACTCGAAGGTAAAATACAATTAAAAAACGTAAGAGTATTAAATAATCATATAGCGCATCAAAGAATGGCTATAGTACTTGAGATAATTGTAAAAACGTTTATAGATTTATTGCCTGGTTTAGGCCTGAAAACGGGATAAGTGTTTTTCTCTGAATGCTCTCACTCGGACTTTTCCCGAAACATATAAGAAATAAGGTCGAACACATTTTTGAAAACTATTTTTAACGTACCGGAATATAAACCGAGTCATGTTTTCTCTGTGGTAAAGTTAGGAATCTATTCATATGATTATGCTGCATTATGTAAATATTATGTAATATTTTGTAATTTAAAGTTACATTGTTCATTTATTTTTAATCAATACCAGTAGATATCTAATTATGATCAAGGGAGATAATCATGATTAAGTCAAACAGGTACCCTTGACAACTAGTGAAGGGAGATCACTCTTGTTTAGCTAAATAAGGGCTAATATATTTTCATCATTTTAGCAAGTATTCAAGTATTCCAATGATGATTTTCTTTGTGTTTTTATTATTCACAGTATAAATATTATGTATCTTTAATAATTCTGTATTTTATGTAAATAATATTGAGTTTTGAACACATTCTAAGGGAACTACTTTTTGGGGACTACTTTCTCAAAAGTTCCAGGGCTATTCTATTTATAGAATTAGGGATGAATCATGTATCACTTTTGTTTTGCACATTTTACTTACTTTAATCTTTAATTATTAGAAATTTATAATTAGAAATAAGATAAGTTAATTCTTTAGTATATCTTGATTATATATTTGTCATTTTAAGAGTGATAATTATAGAATTCTATTTATAGATTTGACTAATTAAACCTGAATAACCTCTTTTAGACCACTTAGACCAACCCAAAGTTTGTTCCATTATTTGTAGGGAATTTATGCAAACAATCAGTCAATGTTTTATTGTTTATTGATTTCATTATGTTCATTATCACTTTGTTTTGTATTTGTTTGTTGTAAATACATATTGTTATATTAAAAAATACATTTTTGTTTGCAAATATATGTTAATTTAGTAATTATGCTAAATCTCACACAACCTAGTTAAAGTTCGTTATGGTCATTTCTGATTGGTTGTTGAGATTTGCAGCATCTTTTGTGTCATAAATAGGGATGCAGACCCTGTTTTCAACAGAATTTTGGCAACACTTAGAATAATAACTTTAAAAGAAAGGAACAACTAGGAAACTTCAGGAAAATAGGTTTATATTTTTGGCATTTAGTTAATTAATTAAACTTAATTAGTTCCTTTCATATCTTTTGGCATTTTTTTACCTTTAGTATAAATTTAGAAGCTTATTGAGATCAGAGTTTTGTAACAGGGACTTTGTCACTGTTTATATAACAGAAAAGTGATTGTTTTCCACTGAGATTACAACACTGTCTGTTGTATTATATGAGAATATACAGTTGAACAGCCTGATCGGTGGACCTGTGAGCCTCCCATTAGCCAACTGGTATTCTTCAGCTGAATAACGCTTTCCCTGATCTCAGTTATTTGTTATCTCAAATTAAGTAATATTCAAATAACTTTTTAATAGAGAAACACTCAAACTAGATTTAACGTAAATAAACTTGAATTTATTTTTATAAATGTAGATATAGCTGAAATTATTTCTTCATCTTATTTTACTTCTGTAATTTAGCATTTTACATTTAATTAGAAACAGAACTTAAGTTTAAGTGAACTCATGTCAACTTTAGCAGTTTTTCTTGCTTGTCTAAATGTAATTTGCCATTTGTTTATTCTTTGTGCTATTTTAGTATCAGTTTCAATTATTTCTATTCAGAATCATATTTTGCAAACTTGGTTATCACTAATTGCTCAAAATAATTTTGCACTGTTTCATAACATCACTTTTCCACCCTGTATGTAAAGTTGTTTTATTTGAAGAGTTATCTTGTTTATTGAATACATTTCATCAAATCAGCCTGTTGTTTCTTTTCTCTATGTAGTTAAAATTACAATTTTTCCTATTTCAATTAGAGACTAAAATTATCGAACCTGAAATGTTAACTTTCCGGTCAAGTTAACTGATATATTTTGTCTTAAATAAGTGTCGACCGGTGGTGTCATCCTGACAAACAGTATACATATATATGTAAATACTGAGATTATGTAATTATCTAGATTTTAAAAATAAGTAAAAAGAAAGATCGCAGATCCGAAAGAGAGTCAAAGGCAAACATTCTACCACATCTCATTATTCTAGATAAGTTTCAAGTATTTCTATTCAGAAGTCAGTTTTTCTTAATTCTTTTTAAAAAAATGGAAAATGCTCCCAATTGAACTCGATTTCAGAGATGCTCCCACTCGGACCTAAATATATATAAATTTTGAAAGCAAATTGCTGTGTTAAGATATTATGACTTTTTCAAAATATCTTTTTATTTAAGTTCATATATTCATGAAATAAGTTAGAATTCAATGAAACAGTATTTTAGAAATACGATACTAATATTTAGATCAATAAAGTTGTGACATATTTTATCATAACAGTCTCGTAAATATGCCTGAGAGGATCAGTTATTGGCCTAAGAATAAGAAAAAAATAGGTATTGTTAAAAATTTCCTCGTTAAACAGAGCCGCTGAAATAAGAAAGAAATTGATTATACATTTTAAAAATATAATAACGTTTTGTTTTGAAAAAGTATTTGTGTTTGTGACCAGTATGGGAAAAGGTATAAACCACATTACGACGTAGGGGAGCACATAGCAGGACATCTTGGCACGGCATAGCTGGAGCAAATATTTTAGATACCAACTGTGTATATATCTCAGTGAGGAGGAATACTCAAGAAGACACAAGAAAAATAGTTCCTTGAAGTAATTGTCTTTTGTTCAGTTTTTTTGCGTGAATTTTTGGACAATGTGTCATAAAAGAACAATTTATGTGAATCTTCACTGGAGAATATATTACAATAAAGTAAAATACCGCAAACAAGAATGACAACTCTCCAGTTTTGGAGTTATTGCTCTTTGTATTCACTATGATTAGTTTGCAAGGACCATACCTCCAAAGGTATTTGAGATATGAACTTGAAACTTTATATTCAACATGTTTAATAGAAGTGAATAGCAGAGCATAAGGACCAGAAATGTTCTTTTAATGCTTCTTTGTTGTTTTTTTCTTTCTTGTTTTCATTGGAATGTTATTTTTTCATGATTTATTATGTCTTAAATTTTCAAGAGTGTCATTACTTGTATTTTTACATGTATGTAAGGGTTCATTTCCCTATGAAATGTATTTCCTCCTTTTCGGCGGGGGATTTTACTGTCTGTGATTCCTTCTTGTATTATTGTTATTATTTTAACGTCATTTAAATATCCTGAAGTTTTATATCATAAATATCATGTTCAAATGAAGATTTATGAATATTGTATGTTCCAAAAAACATAATTTGTAAAGATAATACCAAATTTACATTACATAAAGGGAGGTAATTAGAAATATATATTTTCTATAAAGTGCAAGTTTAATTTTTCAGTAAGAAATGAATGCATACATCTTTGTTTTCTAATTTATTTAATGTTGTTATTTTAAGTAAAAATACGTATACAAGATAA